CGTATCTAATGTTGTTGTGGAAAGACACATTTTCAGCAGACGCGTCCGAACACGAAACGCTGACGAAGGATATAGAGCAGCCATGGAGGTCTTGGCCACGCCCGCCGGGTGGCTTCCTTGACTTTGGGTGATTTCGAGTCATTATTCTGGTCATTACCGAACTGACTTTATCGCAGATGCGGCAACGGTCTCTTGACACACATTTTGACACAAGAAGGCTACAAAGGTCGAGGCATCGACCTTCGCGCACGAACATCATGGTCCCACTACCCCGAGTCGACGCAAGACAGTCTCCATGTACACGCGTTCGACCCCACCACTGGCACACCCGACCCCTACTTCCAACCTGGTATCTTCATCATCGGGAACCACGCAGACGAGCTCACACCCTGGGTGCCTCTACTCTCGACGCTTCAAGCTGCCGCGGGGTACATAAACATCCCGTGCTGCGCTTGGATCTTCGACGCGAAATTCGAGCGCAATACGACACCGATGTTCCCGACCCCTGGCCCAGACTTTGCTGACACTCTGAACTTGGGCGGCCAGGGTGACAATGGGAGCTCGTACTCGATGTATAGAATATGGCTGGCGTCGCTAACCCTATATTGTGGTTGGGAGATTGAGTGCGAGACGTTGAGGATTCCGAGCACGAGGAATTGGGCGATCATCGGTAAGTAGTTTCGATCTTCTCTGGGGTGTACCGTCTGACATTCTTCGACAGGTCGAAGAAAGTCGGGTACGATGACGGAGGACGAGGCGCAAGAGAATGTGCGCGTGATCATGCAGAATGTGGCCGAACGGGGACTATTCAAAGCGAGGAAACCAGAAGGAAAGGATGATGGGCATTGACGATGGTGGGCAATGAACTTCAGCAGCACAGGAGTAACAATGTGGGTTATTGCTGTGGTGATCGTATCTGGAAACCAGGACTTATGACTGAAGTCCTGTCTCAACGCCGCACTCCTTAAGGACACACCAATACAGGTCGAAACCAATGCGATTGTTTATCTGAGCGCTGGAAGTACATGGCTCATTACATCACTACACACTTTGCCGGATCTTGGACCGCCTCCGGGGTACCTGGGGCAGGTTGTGGTTTTGTACCTGAATACGAAGCTCGCGCCCAATCAACAATCTCTGCCTGCCATTTTCCGTTGACCTGTCGGTAGACAAAATTATTCGGATTTTGGTCTCTAAAAGCGTTGCAATCGTCTTGAGTGCATGCTAACACAAGCCATATAAAGAATCGTACCTGTTATCCATATGATATTGATCTTGATAGCGTTTTTTCGCCTCGCCGACGATTTTGCCAAGTTCGGCCTCAGTAAGCCCTGTCTTCGCCGCTGAGGTTCCCATGTTGTGCATGACGAGGTAGAAGAAGTGGCCTTTATCGGTTTTCTTCTCTCCCCAACCAAAGAGTTGATCAACAGTCTTGAGATTAGTGACCTCCTTCTTGACTGACTCCTCCGAACCGCCAGGACGGCTGGCATCTATGACCTTTATAACAGCATCCTTCCCTTCGAAGGTGGTCTTGTATACGAAGGCCGTATTTCCGTACCCCAGCTGTGTAGTGCGGCCGTGAGCTGCTTCATCGACGGGATTGTCCGCGCGCTTCTTTGTGCAGTGTGGTTTGGGCTTAGGCTTGACTGGTGGTTTGGCGGGTCCCTTAGGCGGTTCGACAGGCTCCGTTGGCACTTTAGGTGGTGTTTTTGGGGGCGGCTTGGCGGGGGCCGGAGGGGCGGGTGCCGCAGGGGGCTCAGCAGGTGGCGCTGGCACTTTAGGGGGCGCCTTGTTGACCGGGGCCTGAGCTGGCTCAGCCGGCTCAGCGGGTGGTAGGGACGGCTAAAATCGTCTTTTGAGTATGCTTTATACTAATAGGCGCTACTAGAGGTCACGTACTGCCTTTGGAGCTACCGTCGGGGGTCGAGCAATCAACGGCGTTGCATGAACGGAGAACAATAGGAAGCAAACAGAGAAAATTGATAGGCGCATGAGTATTTGCGAGTGGAGTTTCGATAGAGGGCCAGCCTGAAGACAGCATCAAGCTCAATCTGTCCTTTTTATACAGCGCGGGAGCAAGAAGATCTAGATCGAGCAAATACTTACATAGAACGAGAAACCCGAGACAGCTTCGTTGCTACCTAACAAATGGACATTTTCTATTGCTAGTTCCTGGGAGATACAGGGCAGACGACCTGTAGCGGCACAATTCATGGCCGTGTTTCGCACTGCATGATACCAAGCGGCGTAGAAAGACCACTCCAGAATAAGTGTTTCAAATCTCCAAGCCCTCCGAATCCACGTGCTCAAGAGTCCTTCGCGGCCACAGGTAAGTAGACTCTTGTGGTACGTTCGAGGCACCAACGCAGTATTACCCACTGATTGTAATCAGTCCGTGAAGTTTGAACAATTGGAGGAGTAACAGAGGAACATTTTACGGTTGACACCTGAAGAATTTAGGTTCCTCGAAGGTCGCCGACCGTAAGTATTACAGTAGACAATTATTAGTAGAATGGTGAAGTTGTTACCAACAAGTTGAACTTGGGTCGCATCGCACCGCCCACTTTTGATGGAGTGATTGACGTCGGACATATTGATTCTCCATTTCACAGCCACTTGTCGTCCTCTGTGAACAGCTTCGATCATCGTCACTTTTGAACAGAACATCTCTTCATTAGATGGTTTCATCGCTCAGGTATTGCTAATCCTAACGGGTTCAGGCCCCCGAGGCTGCCCTCGTGACGGTTCGGCGTTTCAGACATTTCACTACGATCCAATTGTCTCGTAAGTCATCTTCACAAGCCCATTCGCAACCTCACTCTGAACCCATCCAGTACGCAAAATGTCGCTGCCTTCTCTTCTGAGGACCGTTACAGCCATACTCTTTTCGTCAAAACCCTCAACGGGCAACCCAAATCTTCCATTGGAAATTATAGAAGAGATTGTGGACAATCTCAGCGGAAAACCATCCTGCCTGTTGAACCTCGCACTAGTCTGCCGCTTTACTCTTCAACAAAGCCGCGCAGTCATGTTTGAGACACTTGTCTTCTCAAATCCAACACATGCCCGCAAGCTCGATGGTTTCCTTGATCTGCTCGAGGGGCCTCCTACGACCTTTGCCGCCCACATACAAAATCTTTACATCAACGGGGTATTCACTAAACCGTATCAGTATAAACCCAGAAAAAGCATCCAACTCTTAGCTATGAAGCTGCCTCGACTCAACAGCCTTCGGTTGGCTTCCTTCGACTGGCCCTTTCTTCCATGGCAATTACTCGACTTTTTCTGCTCCCTTCCAGTAGAAGATGTTTCCATCGAGAGCATCGTGTTCTACAAGACGAAAGAGCTCATTGAGCTATTCAACCAGCCTTTGATCGTTAGAGGAAGTCAACTCACCCTATACAACCTCCAAATCGAGGACGAAGTCGACAGTCTCCTCAATTATGACTCTGTGCTCGAACGAGACTTCCATATTCGGGCCATCGATAGCAGAACACTCGTCACCTTACAACCAGTGCGGGGCCCTCTCAAGAACGACACCAAATCCTTGACGATCCATTCCTTCCATCTTCGACTTTACGGTTCTGGGTACAGAGCCGGGCCAGCCGACTTGTCTCTTCTACAGAGACATTTACTCCAGATTGGTCCCCGACTGGGAACACTTGTCGTCGACCTGTGCGACGCAATAAACAATCAAGGTAGCTTCTCTTCTTTTAAACGGAGACCCTCCAGTTGACAACTCTTTCTTTTACCTAGACCTAGAGCTGCTAGTGTTATACACACGCGTCGACCTGTCATCTTGTACGGCACTGAAGGCCGTTCACCTAGGGATCATCGGGTTGGGTAGTGAACAAGCGGTGATGATGGAAACAACGTGGAAGATCCTTGAATCCCTCCCTCCTTCGACTATCGAGACAGTTGGTCTAATTTTCGACGCCCAAACACCCGCCCAGGACCTCGCCGCTTCTCTGCGAATGTTCCATTGGGCTGCCACAACTCAACGCATTCGGGGCATCTTCCCATCGTTGAAGCAGATCAAGTTCAAAATCGGCGGGTATGATCTGAGCGAGACGTATCTGGCGACGCAGGTCGATGCACTGGCACAAGATATCCTCGAACATGTCTCTACTCGTGTCGTCTTCGAAGCCTGTCCTTGGACCTCTCTTTATATCTCCTTGGTAAGCCTCGAGCTTCCTTCGCGATAATCGATCGTTGCTGATCCTCTTATATAGAACCGGCTGAATTGGAGAGACTTTTCTGCCTGATTGGTGATGATGTGGTCTACCCACCTTTGAGCAGGGGTTTCAACTGTGTGTTGATGAAGCACGAAACCTATTTATATTTGGTCTGACTCTTCGAAAATCATACGATATTTTGCTCCCCCACCTTTTACGCGTAGGGCGTTTGTTCGATTATGAGTGCCGACGTGAACGCCAGGATCGTTACGACATGTAGGATAAAACCGCGGAGTGGGAGTTGAACCAGGTCCGACCTCCCTCGGACCACCTGCCCCGGCCCCAGCAGAGTGGGATTCGACCTACAGTTTTGTGGATGCGCGCAAAAAATCTCGCCTGATCTCTCGACACAAGTTGAGTGGGATTTGAACCCACGCCCCAGCTTCGACAACGGTAAAGTGGGATTCGAACCGGACTTTGGTTGATCATTCAGACCCAGGCTGCCGTTGGGCTAGGACCTACTTCACGCTAAGTAGGACTGTCACTAGTTCACGGCTCCTGGCTACTATACTTTGGGGACCTCGGCCAGTACAAACCTAATAACTACAACCGTGACATATGCATAGACACAGCCAATCCGGATTCCACTTCCAGAACCCATTCGCATAGCTCGCATACACTAACAAAAAGATTATTCCTCCAATGACCCTAAGCCTATCCGTCTTCAAGCTTTCAAGGCTAAGATCCAGACTGTGCCCACCGGGAGGTTCAAAACTTTGCCTCCTTGGGTGCCTACACCAGACGATTTGTTTTATTTGAAGCCATGGCGAGATGGCCGAGCGGTCCAAGGCGCCAGACTAAGGCCAAAGCAGCATCTGCTTATATAATCTGGTCTCTTCGGGGGCGTGGGTTCGAATCCCACTCTCGTCAGAAACTTTTATTCGATGTATGAACATGCCTTTTGCTTAAAAAACGGTGGAGGTTCAAGGAATATGCGCCACATATGTTTGAACAAGGTTGCACCCGAATTCTCACGATATCCGGATTCCGAAGGTCCTTCACTACCTGGCCATCCAATATCGACAGTAGTAGCACAAGCACCATTCTATTCGGATATGACTTATCTTGGCTGGAGAACTCTCGTACCACGCGGCAACGTCCAATTTCTTAGCCCAAATTATTTTCCCGCGCTGAAGCTGTGACTTGCGCATGTGTACGAGTAACCTGTCAGCCAAGCGACACCATCCTGCTCTCCAAGAGTCCAAGCTCGCCAGAGTTGAATTGTAGATTTCCAAGGCTGTGTTTGACAACATCGAGAAGGCCCAAGAAGATCGAACGTTCTTTCAAGTATGTTCTTGGTATAAAGCTGTTACGAACTACTTGGCGAAAACGTACAAGTTCTGTATATATATCTCAAGAGGATCAGGATTCAGAGCAAACCCTGAACCGAGGGTACTTCGTTGTACAATTATACACCACTTCGAGTTCATCCCGCCCATGCAGTCGTTATAAAAAAAGCCAACTGTAAGAAAGAGACTGCATCTCCAAGGATGTCCAAGGATGTCATGTGGGCGTTAGGGCGGCTTCATTTAAATCGAAGGCGAAAAATCACAATGCCCAGATAACGCCCAGTTTGCAGGGTCAATCATTTCATCGGCTCCCCGAGAACGGAACGGAATGCCATTGGTTGCAGAGTTCTCACAGAGTGTACATCGAGTTCGCCAAGCAGCCAAGTAAAGCCACTACAAGACATCGAAGGATGTTCAACGAAGAGTATATATACCTACATAGATACCTGAGTACAACCGTCGAAGCTCGTCGGTCATCTTTCGCTTCCCTTATCGTCCCAACGCGAAATTCGGAAGACTAGGAAATGTCGGATCTAAAAGCCGCCGCGGCATCGGGGTCTGAAAAGCAACCTTCTTCCAAATCTTCCAATGGATCCCTTTTTTCCACCACGATGAGCCACAAGGAGGATGTCGAGCGCGGGTCGGCATCGCAGCTGTCTTTCTGGTCGTACCTAAACTCAGAGGTAGACCCAGCGCAGTCCACGGGCCCACTGGCAGCGTTCTGTTTCATGACAGGTTATATGTGAGTTGTTCAAACAACCATTCAAGGCGTCCGCCCCAGTCTCATAAGCTCTATAGAGACGTTATTTCCTTCTCTGCGATATTCGTCTGGTGCGGTTTCCAAACGGGAAATTTTGCGCAGGTACGATTCGGGTGATATGTTATATTTGGCTGCGAACTTATAACACCCATTACCAACAGTTGGCGTTGGCACTGGCACGTCTATTCGAGGGCCCAAGAGCATTCAGGGATATGACCTTCCACAGAGCTGATCAACAAGCTTTATGTTCGCTCATTTCCTTCAACCTCGGTGCCTCTGTTGGACGTCTTGGCGATCGAGTCGGACCGCTGAAACGCACTTGGCTCATCACGGGCACGGTCATCCAAGCACTTCTTACGATGGCGGCGGCTCTTACGATATGGAAAAGCGGCGAGTTCAGTATCGCCGACGAGAGGGCGGACCCAAGTTGGACGAACGCGCTGTCCTTCGTCGCTCTTGCATTCATGAGTGCTAGCCTTGGTGTGCAAGGAGTTTTGGGCAAGCGCCTCAATACCCAGTTTGGAACTACTAGTACGTCGCCATACTCTCCTTGTCGAAAGGTTATCTTATTTCGCTATTTTTCAGTCGTGCTTACAACAGTCTGGGTCGAACTCGTGTCTGACCCACGCCTGTTCAAACTTCGCCAAAAGGTGGTTTCGCGCGACCACAAGCTCCTCGCGGCCGTCGCACTTTTCCTTGGCGCCTTTATCGGACGTGCTTTGCTGGGCAAGATCGGTGCAGCTGGTACTTTGGGGATCGCGGTCGGGTTCCGGATACTCATCGCCATATCGTGGATCTTCATAGCAGGCAAACCCACCTCTTAGAACCTAAATACCCACCTCTCGCTTTGAACTTAGATACCTGAATTTTGGTTAGAGTGCGTGAATAGCGCTCGTAGAATAGAACCTTTTGTACTTACGTGCCCCCCCAGAGAATTGTACAGTGTACTGCTTAAGAAGGCTTGGAACGTTGGATGAGATCAGTTGAAGTTTTTTTTTCTTTTGTTACACCGCCACAGCTTCTCCCTAGATCTTTACCATCACGATGACAACAAATCACACTTCCAGAATCTCCAGTTTCATCTAGGTGCTCCATTAATCGTGCTGCGATCTCCACTATACGGGAGGGAGTAGCTTAGAGAATCCAGACCCTCTGTCCTCAACGGTCCTGCGACCTGCGAATGCGATTTGCCTCGAGGACAAAAGTTCTAACAGATACCGTCATATGTTAACTCGAAGACGTCAGTGTGGGTGCCTTAAAGAAACACAGGGCCCTGTGGCCACCCATCAGGCCCAAAATTTGGCCGGGTTTCAACGGCCATGTATAAGGACTATGGTGTTTCGCATACCAAGCCATCCATCCATCCATACGGATGATATTTAACATCAGTGGAGTTTTTCCGAGGCATCCTTCCACCCCAGAATCGCGGTCGACAGGTTGTTGACGACTTTCCCCCCCGATCTGAAGCCATCCATTATGGTCGTTTTCAAGAGGTCCATCGTCGACCTCACCGCTCTTTCAAGCCAACTAATGACCTTCCAACCATACCCTATATCGCCTGGGTTTGATATCCAGAAAGTCGCCACACTCGCTCAGTCTCTGCCTTCCCATTCCTGGGAGTACGGCGCCGCCTCCCAAGCTCTTCTCGAGCTATACAATCCTCGATTATCTGTATTCGGCTCCTCCTCCTTCCCAGTCCCGACGGTGCAGAAAAAAGACGTCAAGGCCTTGGCTTACGCCGCCGACAAGATCACCCTCGGCAATGGTGTGAACAGCTTATCGGATGGCGATGGTGCAGTGGGGGATCCAGCGAGTTTGGGTGTCAGCGCGATTCTGCTTGGAAAGACGGACCCAAAATACGCCGAGGCTGCGCGACAGACGGCCGATTTCATGATCAACTCTGCACCTCGTTATTCCAACGGCGCTATTTCCCAACGCGTTTCGGAGCCAGAATTATGGTGCGCCGATCTTTTGTTCTTGCTTATTGTTTCCTGAGTCTGACGCACGTTGCAGGGCGGATTTCATGTACATGGCGCCGCCTTTCTTGGCCTATTATGCTGCCGACATGGCAAACGCCACGCTGCTGCAGGAGAGCGTAAACCAGTGCGGCTATTATCGCCAGGTCCTGAAATCTGATACTATGAGTGCATGGGAACATATCATCGGTCCACAAAGCCAGGACAAGGGCATATGGTCAACGGGGAACGGCTGGGCCGCAGCTGGAATGGTTCGAGTCCTTGCCACTATCATGAGATACCCTATCGCCGATGATACCGCATGGATATCTGGAGCAGTCCAAGATCTCACAGGTTGGATCATGGAGATCCTCGATGGCGCCACTGCATCTTCACTCGACGGTGGGCTAGTGCGCAACTACCTCGATGACGACGATGCTAGCGGCCACGGTTTCGGCGAGATTTCCGGCAGCTCATTGTTGGCTTCCGTAGTCTATCGTATGGCGGTTCTCCAGCCACAGGCTTGCGGGCAGAAGTACGTTATCTGGGCGGACGGAATCAGAGGAGTTCTGGGAGGCAAGGATGCCAACGGGAATCCTCATATCACCGACGATGGCGTTGCCACCCCAGCTGTCAATCCACTCGCTTGGAAGGACACGACGCCGTTCACTACGGGTAGCCCTGAGGGTCAGGCACTCGTCGTGCTGATGTATTCGGCATGGCGTGATTGTATTCTGGCAAGCGGGTGTAACTCGAACTCACAGGGAAGCCGAAGAATGCATAGGGAAAGGAGCAAGGCGCGTTCTGGGGGCGGCCACTAACGATATTTATTTCTATTTCTATTTCTGGAAAGGTCAAATTTCACGTCTAGCATACCAGTCATTTCGCTCCTTAACATTATTGGATATTTATCATCAAGGCTTGGACTGTCGCATATGTTGATACCCTCAGATACCCAATGACTTGGGACATAGATAGCTTTCGGAGAGTACTTTACAGGCGACACGTCGATCACCAATACAATCATGACGGGCCTTAAAAGTAACTAATACTACCCCACCTGGCCAATTTGGCGCCACAGTCACAAATCGGTGACATCGTTTCACCAATCACTGCGTGGTTCTGATGAAACATATAACCTGTCCAGGAATCGTCCGATTTGAACAACTGAGGGCACTGTGATTGCTGTAATGCAATTAATTCGGGGTCTACACTGCACTCGACTGTTGGCAGTATGGTTCATAGGCCGTAAGCTGAGACTCGGAGAGCCAACCTATTGCTAAATCTCGCTGGGCCCCAGTGGTGGCCTAATCAGGTCCTGGCCGCTTGTGACGTTTGCTGGCCGCACGCGGGCAGATTAACAAGCCAGTGAGGATACACTCACATATTACAACGGTACTCTAGATATCAAAGGTCAATTCGATGCTAGCTCTGTGCATCTTCTATTGTAGAGCTCTTGTTAAGCTCCCATTGCAAGCCTTTAGTAATATTTCATCCTCAACCGACCTGTCAATCAGTTTGATTCTGAAGACAGACTACTTTCTTCTTTGAAAAATCGAAAATCCCGTCGGAAGCCTGATGGCCCCTGTGTATGTCAGGCCCATTCTTTGTACAACCTTTGAACTTAGAATTGGACATGACAATTGAGTGCTGAGTGCTAATTCGGGCTCATCCACGTGAACATCATTCAATCAATCATTAAAATTTAAAATCAACGCCACCGGAGTCTAACTGTGACCACCAACACCTGCCCTTTGCCTTACAGATTAAGTGCCAGCCGATGAACCGACCCTGTTATCGCGGCCACTATTTTTTTACATTCCACAAACACGCGGCCATGATTCATGACAATGTTTAAATACAAAT